GCTGAAACAGCCACGGGGCCTGTAGGCCCTGGTTTTCAGGCCGTCAGGCTGAAACAGCCAGGGGGCCTGTAGGCCCTGGTTTTCAGGCTGTCAGGTTGACACAGACACGCGGCCTGTAAGCCCTTGTTTCTAGGCTTTTAGGCTGAGACTGCGGGACAGGCCCTGCAGGCCCGTGTGGCTACAAAGTATGCCACACTACCCGTGCTGAGTCAGCAGTCCCAGTCCTAGTCAGTCCTGGTCCAGTCCAGCAAGTACCGCATGGGACTCTGTGCACTTCGGGCATGGGAAAGGGCCAGACCAACGCACTGCAGAAGTATAAATCAAGAGGCAGCGCCCAGCCATTCATTCATTCCTGCGTGAGCCATGCGGAAGCGCTGCCACATCGACTTGTGCGAGGTGGTCTGCAGTGAAGCCCGAAGACGAAGTGGGCAGAGAGATGAAGCTGAGCCATAGCGATAGGGTAATGGCGGCCATAGCCGCCATAGCTGTAGTTAGTATTCAGTGTGTGAGTGTGTGAGGGTGATCTGAGTGTTGTGCGTGGGATATCCAGGGTGATCCACTGTATGCGAACAGAGAGTTGTATGGGCGCTATATCACCATAGCCATTGGAAGTGAACTCGTATCTGGGTTGCCATATCTCTGAGTACTGAGTGGGCGCATGTTGCCAGTTTGCTGCGCTACTGTTTGCATGCATGTAAAGTGTGAATGAAAGCAAGTCTGATTGCAAATAATGCTATACAAACAGCAGCAGGCGGTTCACCCAAGCAACTGCACTTTGATGGCGATGTCATATGCTGTTTTCAAATTGAGAATTTCATTACTCTCCATTGCACAGCTCATGATCAAAGAAAATAATACAAATTTGCTTTTAGTTTTGCAATAGCAGTCAATGACATGCATAACTTCATTCAGTTACTAACAAGCAGGTGGTTGTACTTCCCTGACTGGACTTGTCTTGTGGGCTGACAGCGGTTTTATGCTGCTCAAATTCTTCTGTCCTTTGAATACCTACACAGCTTAGACATCATCTACAGAGATCTCAAGGTACGGCACCTGCCATGGCATATCAGCTACACATTCAGACTTGGAACACAAACAGTGCAATCAGTGATCAACAACAGCTACCACAAACAGAGAAGGAAACACACAATTAGAAAAAGCGTAAAGGTAGTTGAGAATGGTCGCGGCTTCATTCTATACGGGAGAGTAGCAGTTGTGCCTTCCCATTGACAAGTTGAAATGCAGGATATTTATGATCGAAATAGGCTGATGGCATTGCTGAATTCCTTCTAGGAATGTCAACAAAATAGACATTCCTCACCCATAAATGGCTTCCTGAGTCTAATCTCAACTCGGTCAACTTGCGGAGTAAGTAGGCTAAGGACGGATTCGAACCATCATTCGTGGATTTGCAGTCCAATACATTACCTTTATGTTACTTAGCCTGATCTCCTTCGGGGCTGGACAGTATGCCCCACCTCACCCTTGGAGAAATAGCTAAGATCAGCAAGTCGACCCGACTGAAAAGGAGAGATGAGTTCACATTCAACAAGCACTGTACTAAACTGATTGTCTCTGCTCCAAACACAAGCATTTGCTGCAGACCTTGTCTCGCAACGCTCTGCTAGTTTACACTTAGTAGGTCCCTAATTAAGAGTGCCCTTGGCAGATTTGGCTCGAATTCACTCCTTCTGAGGTCCATTTGTACGTTGCTGTTTGCATTTTTGCAGTGTTGGGGTTTCTGTCTCCACTGTTTCCTTGATACTCTGGGGTCCACGTTGATATGTGTAGACTTAAGGTCAAGAGTATCCGAGCATCAGCCTTTCCATCTGACCAGTGACCTGTGCTGCTTCACGATGGGATGAAACTTCCCTCACCAGGGAAGTCAGATGGTTGAGAGAGAAGGCCTCTTTCTAAACTAGTTGGTGAGGAGCCAGTGACCTCAACCCAGGCATCCCACACAACGTTATCCCATATAGTCCCTTCTGCAATTCAAGAATCAGTTTTTAAAGTTTCCCTTTGTCCTATCACTACACATTTCGTAAAATGCTGCTGTTCCTGACCAGTTTGTTTTCTTCCTTCTTTGACTAGGCAACTCATTTACTGAGACCGCTGTTATGTTATCCGGCAGAGCACATTGGTGCACGGAACAGATCTTACCTACAGGTGTTAAGTATGGGTGAGGGCCTACAGTCTCTCAGGTTGGTGCGCCAGGCTCAGAAGTGCAACCAGAGTATATCCCAGGCAATGGGCTGGAGCCACTCCAATGTAGAGAAAATTCTGACGCCATGCCCAGTCTGGAAAATTTTGGGGCCAAACAACTACTAATTGATGCAAAACCAGGCCAGCCCTTGAAGACAGAGAAAATAATTCTGGTTGTCGGATTGCCAACCCCACGAACCAACTGAAAATGTGGGGGCGTCCTTCTGACCAGGGCGGTTGTAAGCCTAGAGGTGATTTTTATATAGCCGTACTGACAGGTCAGCCTGTAATTGTTGTGAGACTGAGGCGAGGCACAAGGCCACGATAAGCCCTACTGAGCCCTATTTTCAGC